AAAGTAAGAGCAAACCAAACCCAAAATCAGAAGAGAAATAATAAAGATCAGAGCAGAAATAAATGAAATTGAAATGAAAACAATACAAAAGATCAATAGAACAAAAAGTTGGTGTTTTGAAAAGTTAAATAAAATTGACAGACCTTTAGCCAGAGTAAAAATAAAAGAGAAGAACCAAATAAATAAAGTCAAAGATGGAAAAGAAGACATTGCAACTGATACCTCTCTTTCTTACTCCTTTAATCCAGTGCTTGTCTCATAGGTTAAAAATTTTACATATTTTAACCAGAGTTCCTGGGGGTGTTAGTGTTTCATAAGCTAGAGAATCAATATTTGGCTGTTATGTTGAATAATGACTGCCTTTATCCTGTTTGCAGAGGGAATAAAAGCTAATGAATATAATTTCTCAATTCAAATTGTTCTCCAATAATGTTTTACAAGGCTTTGGCTCCAGACCACTTTTCTGCTAGAGATTGCCCATATATGACAGAAGAAAATAAAATTGCAAATTTATGTCAATAGGAAACCTCAAAATTAACTATTTGCTCTTGGTTCAACTATTTCTTGGGTGTTATTTTAAGACATGTGGGCCGGTGATTGTGATTTCATATGTTATACAAATAATATAAGGTAGATTAAAGTGTATAGGTGAAATATAAAATGTATTGATTTGTATTTTTTTAAATTACTACAGAGAATATAGTGTTCTGCAAATAAGAGCAAATGTTATGAATCTCTGTCCCCTGAACAAGTCTAAGCTGTCCTGACTTGACTTGGAAAAATAAGTGTTATATTCATTTAAAGAGTGAATAGAAAAAAATTGTGGACAAAAGTTACACCTAAAACACATATAATGTGTCAAATAATTAGACAGTTATTTTGAACTATTGCTCAAATTGCTATGTCTAAGGATTCAAACCAGTATTTGCATTTCATTTCTCAGCCTCAGAATTGCAGATCTAAGACCTTAGTGTTGTTTTTCAACAGGATTTTGTGTTTGGGAAGGCCCATGAAAATTACTTTGGACAAACTGTCTGAAACTTGAAACTCCTAATACATGTCCTTTAGCCTCTCTTTGAATACACCCAGTAGGACTTTAATGTAACCCTAACTTTGAGGTAAAATAATAGCACCTGTGTCTGAGGCTGTCATTTACATGCGGATCTGTGTGAAAGAAATGAATTGACTGAGTACATTTTTAGATGTGCAAAATGCTTTATAATAAGAATTTATACTGTTTTTATGTGGGTTTAAATATGAAATTGAATTTCTACAATTGTACTCCAAACTCTTTGACTCTTAGACAATGGAATATGTCATAGTGTTTAAAACTGTAATTCCGAACTGAATATTACTCAACTGCTTATTACTCATGGCTTGAGAGGGGAAGAAAATTCTCTTCATATATGTTGCCTTCATTCACGCAAGACATTTTATTTGTATTACCAATTTAATAAAATCTCGCTGTGCAAATTTTCTCCACGTGTGGAGGCAAAGAACTAAGATATATAAAGCCAGTTCTTTGTGTTCTTTAACTCCAAAAACTGTGTATATGTAATATTTTGTCTGTTTTACAAATTTAAGAATATGGAATTTTGCCACTTTTCATTTTTTTCTTAAAGTAGAAATCTCACAACATGCAACTCAGTTTTCATTACCTTATTTTGACCCATGTCTACTCTTAGGGGGGCTTCAATTCCCCAACAGAATTCTGGTATTTCCCAATGTGAGGTAAAGCCAAAGAGAATTGACAGAGGGCCAAAAAGACAAGGAGAGGGTGATTTGAGACCAGAACAGAAAGAGCAGGATAAAGCTGTTTCAGGAATGGACAAGTGTTCAGGCAAATACCACAGAAAAAAGAAGATAAACAGCAAGTATGGTGAGGAGCTCTCTCTAATAGATGGACGAGACTAAATCCTGGCTCTGCCATTTACTGGCTATATAACCCTGAAAGAGCAATTTCATCTCTCGGAACTTCCACTTCTTCATTTGAAAAACGAGGAAATTCCCGTCTTCTAGAGCTGTGGTGAAAGATCTGGGTAAAGATTATTGCACTGGCTGGGCACAATGGCTCAGGCCTGAATCCCAACACTTTAGGAAGCTGAGGCAGGATGATCACTTGAGGTCAGGAGTTCAAGACAAGTCTGGCCAACATGGCAAAACCCCATCTTTATTAAATATACAAAAATTAGCCAGGCATCATGGTGCATGCCTGTAATCTCAGCTACTTGGGAGGCTGAGGCAGTAGAATCACTTGAACCTGGGAGGTAGAGGTTGCAGTGAGCCAAGATTGTGCCATTGCACTCCAGCCTGGATGACAGAGCGACATTCCATCTCAAAAAAAAAAAAAAGATTATTTCCCTTCATGCAGTGTTTCTGCTTCTTCCTTTCAGTTCTTGCCGACCCTTTCCTTCCTGAGCAGAAACAGCCATATTGATGTCTGTGCATACCAAACTGAGCCTTCTATTTTAATCTTTTTGCTATGGGGAAATTCCGATATTTACAGCAAAAAATAATCATATAACTATGAATCTTCATGTAACTATTTTTCAGCTTCAATAATTACAAGTCATGGCCCAACTTTTTCATCTACATTCTCATCTGCTTCCTACCCTCTGTATTAATTAGAAACAGAGGACGTCATATCATTTTATCTATAAATGTTTTAGTAGGTAGTATCACTAAAAGATAAGAACGTTTTTCAAAAAACATAATCATGATACCACATCACACCTAAAATATTTATCAGTTATTTCTTAATATCATTAAATACCGTGTGCTTAAGTTTCTAATGTCATAAATTTTACAGTTTGCTTGAATTAGGATATGTTATATCCACAAATTACAAAAAGTGTCTTTTAAATCTCTTAATTGATTAGCTAACATGCTCTTTTGTTCTCCGTATTACATGTAAAGTAGAGGATTCATTAGATTCAGGTTGATTTTTTTTGCTGTTAATGGTATTATGGCTACTCTCACTCTCTGTCCAATAAGTTATGTCAACCACATGAATACTACCAAGAGGTTTAGTTATTGATGATGTAATTTTTTCCAAACTAATAAACAATTCTTGGAAATATCTGAACAAATCAATATACAATCTTTCCTCAATTTAAACAATAAATAGTTACATCCTGAAGACTCAGGTATATATTAAAACGGCAAAAATATTTTGTATTTATATGAACTATAGAGCTATGCTTTAAGCTCAGATAATGCTAATGTTTTTATTTTATTTTATTTTATTTTATTTTTGGTGATAGAGTCTGACTCTGTCACCCAGGCTGGAGTGCAGTGGTATGATCTCAGCTTACTGCAATTCTACCTCCCTGGAGGTGATTCTCCTGCCTCAGCCTCCAGGGTAGCTGGGATTACAGGCACCTGCCACCATACCCGGCTAATTTTTGTATTTTTTTTTAGTAGAAATGGGATTTCACTGTGTTGGCCAAGCCAGTCTTGAGCTCCTGACCTCAAGTGATTCACTTCTTTTGGCCCACCAAAGTGCTGGGATCACAGGCAGGAGCCACTGCACCCAGCCAGATAATTGTAATCTATTTTTCACCTGCACGAATATATAGAAAGGTGTATGTTACATGGGAACATTATTTACTAAGTAGGATTATCTGCCACGTTGTGGAAAGTCTAGCATCTCTGAGTCCTGTCTACCATTGCCACTAATACCCGACCCAAATCTTTATGACAACTACCAACATCCTCTTATGTTTACAAAATGTTCTCTATGGTTCACTTTGTCCCCTGTTGAAAACCACTAAATTAGTTTAAGCAAAAATAAAACACGAAATTGGTTTTCATTGTATGTATGCAGTAATTTTAGAAAAGGAAATAAGAAAAATATCTTGCATTGGGAATGAATATTGAAACACTCCCAAATTTAAAGCCTTCACGTTTTTCTCAGCTGACAGAATTTTATTTCTTCAAAATACGTTGGAAAATATGAGCAGGATCTCTGATAAAACCAATGAGATCATAATGACTTCATGCTAATATATGCAGTTCAAGTAGAGAAATTTTTAACAGCTAGGAAACCATCCAGACTGGTTGGGAGACTGGGAGAGTGACAAGAAATGACAAGACCATTTTTAATTCTTTGCTAAGGATAGATAAAAATTTATAAACCTTCTGATGCTATATTTAAATAATTGGTCCATAATGTTCATAAGGAATTGTGCTACATCTCTGAGATGAAGGAAATACAGTCAACTGTTTACTTTCCTTTAACTTACCTTATTATATGATATACATCTTGCCTTTTTCTTTTGGCTTTTTCAAACAGTTCCTTTATTGTCTCTAAAAATTATATTTAAATCTGTGTTTGAAGATATTTTAGTGTTATTTTTGAAAGTAGATATTGTTTATTCATGGTACCTAGCCAGTTTTTAATAAATAGTATAATCTTATCAAATATTTTTAATAAACTCACTCATCCAGTAATCACCATTTATATATCTAACTGTACAGAATCATGGACTTTCATATTTGCTAATTTTATTGTCATAGTATCATGAAATATTAAGTGCAGGTGTTTTACACAGAGCAGAAACTGAATTAAGCGGTTTCTTCTAAATCACACTGCTGGCATAACTAGGAGAAGAATTTACGTGTTCTGGCTTTGATTTTACTATTTCTACCCATAGACTTTTTGCATTGAAGTTTTGTGGGTTCTATTCTTGCTGTCCAGCTGTTTCCATGTGTTCAACGTATTTGTGGAGAAAGAGAAAGAAAAAAAAAGAGTTGTGATTAATTTCTCCGGTATTTATATCCTGGGCCTGACTCTTAAACAAAACAAGATATCAAAAATTGTGGTGGCAAAGTCTGGTGGAAGATAAGGCTCTCCTAAGAGCAAGTTACATTGTTTAATGTCTGCAAACTGCAAAAAAGGTGCAGCATCAACATAGTAATTGTTCAGAAACTGGAACTTGGTTACTATGGAGACATTACCTCATAGTTCTAAGAGGCAGTGTTGGCCAGATGCAAAAATTGTAGTCATAAAGTTCTCTTTGCCAAGTCACTGCCCTGTCTCTCCAAATGCTTCCAGTGAATGCTAAATACCTTCACCATAGTTTGTCTGATACTCTTAGTCAAGATCAGGATTGGCTATGTTAGTACTTACACATTCACATGAGAATTCTGGTTCTGGTACCAGTTTTGTAAAGAAATTAGTAAACCTGGCTGATGCTTGAAGGTAGTTGGATTAACAGGTGAGGTCACTTTCAAAAGAAAAATCTGCCTTGAACCTCAGTGGTATTCACTGTCTGATGTCATGATCTGCTTTCCTAGGAAAGAAAAGAGACTTCTTTTCTAGCCAAGATGAAAGATAAACAAGACATTCAGGAAGCTCCAGAGGCAACGCAGAATAAAGTCGACAAGCAGGAAGATAAGATGGAGAAACAAGAACAGTGAGTATTCATAGATGAGATGAGAGCAGAGCTGAGTTATAGAGAAGGAATGATGGTATGCTTGACCTCTTTTGTTTTAATACTCTTATAAAGCAGTTAGAACTAGAATAGATCCCACAAATTTTCTAGAAATAATGAACTGTAGCATACAATTACTTCCACAACTACTGTTTTATAAGGTTCTAGTCCTTGAGAAGTATAAAAACCCACCTGGACAGATCTCTATCATAAAAGACCTAGCTGAGATTCCAAAGTTCCCATTTAATATGTTAAGGCAATTTACAGAAATAGTTCCTTTCTAGAAGTATTTTACAGACCTGGGGACAAAAGGAAATTACGAGAATGTTGGTTTTGTAAATGTCTGTGAGAATGTTATATAAAATTATAATCCCTATTGTAACATTTAATATAAATCATCAACTAAACCATTACCATTGGTTTTCCAATGTTTTCTTTAAAATTGACTTATTATTGAGTATACAGAATTTAAAACTATTGTTAATTTGGACCTAGAAGTCCTATGTTTATTGTTCAATCCAAGTCCATTTTTAAATATTTGTTCTAAGGGGTCCTCTGAGAAATGATCATTGTCAATATTATCAATGCAGCATCTCCTGAAGTAACATTGAAATGCTAGAACTGAGCCTTTGTAACTGCCCCTCATTTAATGTTAACCAATTACAAAGAAACTGAAATACCAAAAATGGCTTTAAAAATTACTTTTGCTTAAGGGAAAGTTAACTAAGCACTGAGAAAAATCACTCATCTTCCAAAAGGAGTCTAATAGGTTGACAAGTGGAAGGTTCAGATGATGGGCTGTATCACATGAGTTTGTTCCTGAAGTGTCTCAGCTCTTCCAGAGACATGTGCAGCCATTAGAAATTTCTTATTCGACCAGGCACAGTGGCTCATGCCTGTAATTCTAGCAGTTTGGGAGGCCAAGGCAAAAGAATCACTTGGTGCCAGGACTTAGAGACCAGCCCGGGCAACTTAGCAACATCACATGTCTACAAATTTTTTTCAAAATTAGCAGGCATGGCACCATGTATCTATAGTCTCAGCTACTTGGGAGGCTGAGGCAAGAGGATCACTTGAACCCAGGAGTTGGTGGTTGCAGTCAGCCTGGATAACAAAGCAAGACCATCTCACAAAAAAGAAAAGAAAAGAAATTTCTTATTCACCTACCAAAATAAGAACACCCTATATCTACAGGACAGGTTTCTCTGATTGCAAAGATTTTGTTAAGGCTTACTGGGAATCTTTTGTGGAATTAAATTTATTTTAAAGTTCTATTGTTTACTAGAGGAAAAAATTGAGAGCTTATAAGATGAACATGCCAAAAAGAATAGCCAGTCAGTTATGAAACCCAGATATGAGGAATGTTGAAAGAGAAAAGCACTTCTCTACTGTTACAGTCAGTGTCAGGGGGAAGTCCTGTCATATAATCCTGCCTCATGTTGAACAAAGAAGAGATATCTGTAATCTGGCAATTTACCTCTAAAGTCTCCTTCCCACTACTTCTACGGTCATACTCAATAGCGTATTTTTATGGGTTAGAGCTTTTCTGGGAAATGTGAATGCTTGGAGTGTCAGCAGGATGTTAAGTGTACATGCTTCTTAAGCACTGGTCCAGTAGTCATGACATTTTCAAAGCCAATGCCATTTAATTATTTTAAAAATTTGCCTGAGACATCTGTGTCTTCTGAGAGGCACATGTAGAGCAGTCTAGTTTTGAATACAAAACTCCAGGTATAATATTTCTGATAAAGGAAATTTCAAATTGTAGAACAAAATGATGTGAATATCTCTTGGTAAACAAAGAGATATTGAGGGTGACAGCAGCAAGTAGGAAACTCTAGGCCCTCATTCTCTTATAAGAACCTAAAAGAAACTAGCTAAGATAACTTTATAAGAGCTCTGGGAAATAGATCAAAGCAGAGATCATTCATGGAGGCAAAATAATTAGTTCCTGACTTACAGTGGATAGATATGTGAACCCCATAAAGGAGATGGTTGAACTGGCCATTTGTCCCGTTTTTCAAAGAAATAAAGGGTTTGGACTCAAGGATTTTGTTCACAATTTAATTTAAGCATTGAACACACGTGCACACATGCACACATGTACCTACCAAAATTACTTTGAGATCACCGGGGAGAGCCTCAATGTGACTCATAAAATGAAATGTCCTAAGTCTTTTCATGATTCATGTCATGAAAGTGTTGTTTAACTTGTAAAATACTACTACTGTAGCTTATGGACCTTGTTCAAATGATTGTGCACTAGTTAACAAATGCTTTCATAGTTATAAAAAAGAAAGGAAAATCTTTGTTCATAGTAAGAGTCACTTATAAAAGTAGTATATGAAAATGATCTTCTCCCTCTTTTCTGTCATTCCCACCAATACACATACATACACAAACATGCAGAGTTTATTTGAAGGTAGACATTAACTAAACAATCTTAATTAAATAGAAAAGTGGGTTAAGCAGCAACAGGAATTAAAGGAAAAGGGTATATAGGAAACAAGGCTATATTAAACCAGAGTTATAATCATGATTTTATGATAATGGAAAGGGGAAATATGTTAAGTGATCAAAGTGGAGGTATAAATGGCTTATAAAGTCCCAACTTAGAGTAAAACACACATTTAAAAGCCTGGAAGGAGATAGTAAAATGTCTTGGTTGTGGCATTGTAGTGATTATTATTATCTTTTTTCTAGTTACACGTTTTCAGAACCATCTATAATAGGAATTTATTAATTTTCAAATATTTCAAAAGCATATAATAAATTGATAATAAAGTGTTTTATTTCAGTTGTTAACACTAGAAATACAAGATGTTATTGTGCTTGTGTTGGATGCACACTACCTTTGAAAAGCAGAATTCTGGGTAATAATGATAGCCCATGCTTCTTTTATTCACAACCACTTTGACTTTCCAATTTATTTATTTTATTTATTATAATTTTTATGCACAGAAGAGAAGACAAACTTGGAGATCCCGCAGTACATTCTTCAGTACATTTTCAAAAACGAAAGATAACGGGTTCAGTTGCCACAACACTGTCATTGTCATCTCCATTATCCAGCGGAGTAACTCTTGGCTACTATCTTTCTAGTCCTCGGATTAGTGGATTAACTATATCAACAACTGGACAATTTACTTCTAAAGCTACTAGAGGTAATGGTTCCCAAGAGGAAAACAGCTTGGGTAAGCAAAATACAGACCTCATATTTTTAGAGTACTTTTAAAGCATATATGTCAATAGATTGTTTATGTGACTCTTAGCCAGAATGATGTTTTATTATTAGCACCCCAAAATGCTAATTTCTTAGCAGCTTATGAAAAGTAACTTAACTATGGTCATCACTGATCCTAGAACTGGAGTCTTAAATTCAGGCCACATACATGTATCCTTATAATTAAGATATCTTGAGTTATCATGATGGTTCATGAGTTGACTAACATGCATCAGAATTGCTAGAGAATTAAAAATTCCAATTTATAGCATTAACTGTCCTTCCTCTGAACACTACCAGAAGGATTAAACCACATCTTGTATATTTTGTGCCTTTAGTTGATATATGGCTTAAGTAAGGAATAGAAAGACAGATGAGAGAAAGAAAAAATATAAAGTAGGTATAAAATAATGTAGATAAAATGGGAAAACAGTAAGGAGAACTTGAAAAAAAGGGAAATGAAAACAGTACTAAAATAACAAAAAGTAAAGTTTTGACTATTGTCAACAATGTACTCAGCAATACCCACGCTCCAGGGTGTTTGTTTCTCCCCATGTTTAGGGAACTTTGAGGGTATGTTTTCATGGTTTACTGAAAACACTGTCATCCTTTGAAACACAGGACATACTGTTTTTCTATAGTGTCAGGCTTTAGGTAGAGCACTTAACATTTCTGCATCTCATTTACCCGACAACTGCAAAATAGGGATTAAAATAGAAATGTCACAGGGCTATCCTAAGAATTAAATATTTATGAAAATTACCTAGCACATAATAAGTACTCAATAAACATTAGTTGTGCATCTGAATGTACCTGTAATCACCTTCTTTTAAAATAGACTAGATTTGGGGTCTGTGTTTCAATTGCCAGTCAACTAAGTTTCAAAACTAATAGTGCAAATAGTCCAGTGACTATCTGATACCTCCCTTATCCTCTACCATTATGTGCCCATCTGTAACCTGGCTGCCCTTCATCTATATTTCATTTTTTTAATATATTTCATTTTGTTTCTGATATTTAAAAATAATTTTGACATGGGTTAAATAGTGTTTAGTTCTCCTGCCATTATGGTCATATTCCCTATGTTTCATTTTTTGTATGAAGAGTATAAAATTTCCCAAGAAGAACTCCTAAGTTTACACTGACCTTTAAGATGACCAAAACCCATATACTGAAAACACAAATACAAATTTTAGACCTGGGAAGAAAAGATTTTCTATCATTTGTCATTATATCATCATGGCATATGTTCTATATTTGGGTTAAACTTTTGCTTCTTGTAATGGGGCAAAAAAAAATGAAATATAGTGGCTTCCCCTTACAAGATGGGAGCTGAATTGGGATGTAGTCTTTTTCTTCCATTACTGTAGATTCTGCTTCTGTAGATAGATGCCTAGTTTCACTGAGATTTGTTGCACTTGGTTCATTGTCATCTTTTGTTCTAGACAAAATAACAACAGGGACCGAAATTAATGTGTCTTCTTTTCTTTTGGAATACCAAGACTTTTCTCTCTCAAGATGAGCTGTTAGGAAATATGCCATATATTATCCTTCCCCAAAGGAATCTAAGGATTAAGGAAGTACTCAACTGAGAATGAACTAATTTAATTCCAACAAAATATTTAGAGGAATCTTCTTTAAATATGATGATTTTATTCCTTTATATTTTTCACCTTGTTTTGGTTTTGCTGCAGATGTAAGATTCAAACTCTAGATTGTCTTAATCCTTTGAGGATCTTGGACAAAGAGTCACATTAACCAAAACTCTTATACTGTAATAATAGCTTTCATTTATTATCAGATAAATGTTAAACATTATCTAGACACTTATCTGCATGATCTCCAACTCTCTTATCTTTTTACATAAGGTAGTGGTATCTTTATTTTATGTTCAGGAAAATGGAAACTTGGAAAATTTATATCACTTGGCTTAGTAAATGGCAGCACTGAAATAAAATTGCAAGTCTGTCTAAATGCAAGACACATTGTTCTTTCCACTTCGTCATGATGCATCTTTGCAGTGTAGTAACTCTTTCTTTGCAAACATATTGTTAGATTTGTCCAGAATGGCTCTTTCTGTTCAAAATTATGAAACCTATTTTGTATTTGAATCAAAGTAGTGAAGATTTAAAAGAGCAAACTTCTAATAGGATACTACAATCTGATTCCACATCACTTTATCTTTCTAATAAAGATCCTTAATTAAATAGAAGTTTAACTATTTACCTAGCAAAAGTATTAACCATTGTAGGAAAGGATTCATATGGGGCTTTAATTTATGGGTAGCCATTTGGGGAATTTAGCAAACATAAAGTAGAATATGGCTATATTTATACATAACATATCCAAATTTGATAAACTCAAATGTTTTCCCTATTCCCAAATTGATGATGCTTCTAGCACAACTAAATAATCAGTTAAATAGTTACTATGCTAATGATAGAATTTATTATTTAAGATAACTGAAATAATCTCTAGGAATTGAAGATGCCACTGTAACTATTCACTTACTGATTATTTTAAAGACTTCTGTTTAAAGCTTCTAACTATTCTCATTAAGTTTGATAGTGATATTAAAATGTAAAAATATAATTTTGTAGAAGCAGAGAATAAAGATAATGACTTTGGATTCTTTTAATGTCATTTTACTTACTTCTCTCCTGGCTGCTTCCTTCTTTGGTTTGCTTGAAAGATCCCTTCATAGTTCCAAAGAAACATGATGAATCACCCATAATTGGGGATGGAGAAGATTATTTTCTTTCTTTGTTTGGTGATTCAAAAAACCGTATAGCACACTCAAGCTACACTGAGAAAACTTCCAAATACTTTTCTACGATTCTTGAAGAAGTTGGCCAATGTACCTCCAGGTATGTATTTTATTTGAACTACTTAGTATCTTCTGTTGGGGTAGGACCAATAAATCAGTAGAAAATAAAGTTATAATCTGTTGTTATATGCATTATCTTATCTAAAACACTAATAAGTTCATTGAAATATAACTGTTTCATCTTCTGATCAATTAAAATGAATTCATATAATGGTCTAAAGAACCAAACAAGAAATGTGAATTATTCAAAGATGCCAGAATAAACAGTGCTACATAATCTTTACTAATTGGGTCAACTCAGTTGTTCAAGATACTTTTTTATTGTTGGTGAATTATTTAGGTGGATCTAATATATATTTTTCTTCTTCTAGTAGCTCTTGAGTTCAAGACAGAAGGAGAAAGATAAATTTTTACCTCATTGATCCATTTTTATGACAATTAGTATCTATGCAAAAATTGATCAGGAAGAAAGTTAATATTAAAATAAAAGAGTTAAGATCTATTCATTTATGTTAATATAACCCTGCTTTACTTATTACATGAACAACATATTGAATTTGAAATGTTAGTAATAAGTCCATGTTAATAAAAGTTATTAGATGGCTAAAAGAAAAGAGTTGAGGGTCAGATATGAAGGAAATTTTCTCTCCCTTTATGCCATGTTTCCTAAAATCAATCACTCATGCCCTATTACAATTTAACAGTGGAGAATACCTAAACATTTGCTCAACTGTCTAAAAACACCTCATCAGATCCCTCATTCAGTACCTACTGTGTTAAAATGATGAGAAGTTTGGAACAGCATACAATGTTTAAAGATTCTGTTAAAATTCAATCATATTAAAAATGGTAGTGTGGAAGCAAGCTGTCTTCAGTCCCTATCTAGCCACCCCAGAAAACAAAAACAAATATATGGTGCCAAGACAATCATTATCATCAGCAGTATCTCAGAACTCAAATATGAGGATGAGACAATTCCTGAGGCCACAGAGAAGTGAAAAATATTCATATAATAATTAAGCTCTCCAGAGGTCAAGGACAAAGAGAAGAGCCTAAAAGATAGAGGAAAAAAGAATTTGTCTAACAACAGACTTCTCAGTGGAAACCATGTAGGTCAGGAGGGAATGAGACAATGTTTTCAATGTGTTAAAGCCCTGCTATCCAAGAATAGTGTATCCAGCCAAGCTATTTTCCAAATATGAAGAGATAAAATCCTCCCCAGTCAAAGAAAAGCTAAGAGAATCCACCACCACCAGACCTATCTTGTAAGAAATGCTAAAGGGAGTTATTCAGTCTAAAAGAAAAAACCACTAATGTTCAAAAAGAAAACATTTGAAGGTATAAAACCTCTGGTAAAATTACGTACATGGAAAACTCTATGATTTTAACTGTGGTATGCAATCCACTCATTAGCATGAATCCCAAAAGATGATTCTATCAAAAACAGTAATAGCTATAGTAATCTGCTAAGAGATAGGCAGTATAAAAATATGTAAATTGAGAAAACTAACAGTCAAAATGTGGAAGGATGAAGTTCAAGTCTAGAGGTTTTTTTCTGTTTTGTTTTTTTCCTTTGTTTCTATTTTTTTCTGTTCTTTGTGATTTAAGTATTCATCACTTTAAAATAACTTGTTATAGCTGTAAGATGTTTTTTATAAGCCTCATGTAACCACAATCCAAAAACCTATAATAGATTCACAAAAAGTAAAAAGCAATGAATTAAAACACTACCAAAGAAAATTACTTAACCACAAAAGAATATATTAACAAAGGACAAAAGGAAGAGACGAGTTATAAAACAACCAAAAAAAAAAATAAGTTCTTCTTATCAATAATAATACTGAATGTAAAATGGACTCAATTCTCAAATTAAAAGGCAAAGAGTGGCTTAAGGAATAAAGAAACAAAATCCAGCTATGTGCTGCCTACAGGAAACCCACTTCACCTACAAAGACACATATAGACTGAAAGTGAAGGGATGAAAAAGCATAGTCCATTCAACTGGAAACCAAAAAGGAGTAGGAATAACTATACTTACATCAGATAAAATAGACTACAAATCAATGACTGTAAAAGAGACAAAGAAGGTCACTGTATAATGATAAAGGGGTCAATTCAGCAAGAAGATATAATAATTATAATTATCCATGCACTCAACAGCAAAGCTCCCAAGTATACAAAGCAAACATGGATAGATTTAAACAGAGATATAGACTGCAATAAGTAGTAGGGCACTTTAACATCCTATTCTCAGAAATGGACAGATGAACCAGACCAAAAAAAAAAAATCACAAAGAAACAGCAGAGTTAAATTGCACACTAGACCAACTAGGCCTGACATTTGCAGAACATTTCACCCAATTGCTGCAGAATACACATTCTTTTCATCAGCACATGGCGGATTCTCCTGAATAGACTCTCTCTTAAGCCACAAAACAAATATCAAAAAAGTAAAAATTCTATCAAGTATTTTTGTGACTACAATGGAATAAAACCAGAAATTAATAACAAGAGGAACCTAGGAAAATACACAAATGCATGGAAATTAAGTAACACACTTCTGAGCAACCAATGGATCAGTGAGGAAATTGAGAAGAAAACTTAAAAATGTCTTGAAACAAATGGAAATGGAACCACAACATATCAAAATCTATGGGGTACAATAAAAGCAGTACTAAAAGGGAAGTTTATAGCAATAAACACCTATGTCAAAAAAGTAAAAAAAGCTTCAAAAAGCTTCAAGCAAACAACCTAACAAGGCATCTCAATGAACTAGGAAAGCAAGAAAAAATCAAACTGAAAATTAGAAGAAAATAAATAATGAAGATCAGAGAAGAACTTGGAAAGCAAGAAAAAAACAAACTGCAAATCAGTAGAAGAAAAGAAATAATAAAGATCAGAGAAAAATAAGTGAAATTGAGACTAATAAAGATCAATAAATAAAAAGTTGGTTTTTATCTATGATGTTAGATTATATCAAATACTTTTTATGCATCTATTGAGATGATCATATGGCTTTTCATTTTTAATGTTAAATCATCCCTGTACTATTAAAATAAACACTTGGACATAGTGGTTTTTTTTTATTTTTTTTTATTTTTTTTGAGACGGAGTTTCGCTCTTGTTACCCAGGCTGGAGTGCAATGGCACGATCTCGGCTCACCGCAACCTCCGCCTCCTGGGTTCAGGCAATTCTCCTGCCTCAGCCTCCTGAGTAGCTGGGATTACAGGCACATGCCACCATGCCCAGCTAATTTTTTGTATTTTTAGTAGAGACAGGGTTTCACCATGTTGACCAGGATGGTCTCGATCTCTTGACCTCGTGATCTGCCCGCCTCAGCCTCCCAAAGTGCTGGGATTACAGGCTTGAGCCACCGCGCCCGGCTGTGTTTATTTTTTAATATACTGTTGAATTCTATTTGTTAAAATATTGTTTCAAACTTTTGCATCAATGTTTTTAAAGATTATTGGTCTGTAGTTTTCTTTCCTATAACGTCCTTGTCTGTTTTGGTGTCAGGATAATTCTACTCTTCATGGAATGAGATAGGATATAGTCTCTCCTTTATCCTTTTCTATAAGAGATTGTGTAGAAGTAATTTTTTTTTCTTTTTTGTAAATGTCTTATAGAACTTAATAGTGAAGCCATCTGGACCTGGAATTTCTTTGTGGTAAAGTTTTAAAACTAGATTGTTTTAAAATAGATATTAGGCTATCCTAATTAGTTCCTCTTGAATAAGCTCGGGTAGTTTGTGTCTTTCAAGAAATTTGTCCATTTTATCTAAGTTGTCAAATTTTTTGGCATAATGTCATTTATAATATTCCCTTATTATCCTTTTAATAGCCATTGAATCTTTATTGGTATCATGTTTCTCATTTCTCATGTAGTCATCTATATCTTCTCTTTTTCCTGATCAGTATCACTAGAGATTTAGTTTTATTGAGCTCCTCAAAGAACATATGTTTGATTATATTGGTTTCCCCTATTTTTTGTTTTTTATCTGATTGATTTTCATTTTGGTCTATGTTCCCTCTCTTCTGTATACTTTTGGCTTTATTTGCTTTTTAGAGGACAACCTCCTCTAATTTCTTAAGGTGAAATTTGAGGTCATTGATTTGATACCTTCTTCTTTTCTGCTACTACAGGTATTTAGTGTTATAAATGTTTCTCTAAGTACAGCTTAGTGGCATCCCACAAAATGTTAATATATTGTATTTTTATTTTTATTCAGTTCAAAATACTTTCTAATTTTTATTTTCTTATTGATCCTTGGATAATTGAAAAGTGTTATTCAGTTTCAAAGTGTTTTACATATTTTTCAGTTCCAGTGATTTTCCAGATATCTTCTTGTTATTGATTTCTAATTAAATTCCATTGTGGTCAAATAAAATATTTTATGGGACATGAATCCTTTTATATTTACTGAGACTTGTTTTATAGCCAGCCTATTAATTATTCGGATAAATGGTCTAGGTACACTTGAAAAGAATACATATTCTGCTGTTGTTTAGTAGAGCATTTCATGTAAACCATGTCATGTTGGTTGTCTACTGTCTTTTTGCTGATTTTTTGTCTACTTGTATCAATTATTGAGAGAGGGGTATTTATATCTACTAAAGTTGTAGATTTGTTAATTTCTCCATTGTAATTCAATCATTTTTGTTTTATGTATTCTAAAGCTTTGCTATGAGATGTATCACTATAAAATCACTCTTTATTCTGGCAATATTCTTTGATCTGAAATCTATTTTGTCTGAAATTAATATAGCCACAGCAGCTTTCTTTTTACTGATGTTAGCATGGTATATCTTTTTCCATACTTTAACTTTTGAACTATTTGTGTCTTTATATTTCGAATGCCTATTTTGTAGGTGGCACTTATAGTTGAGACTTGCTGTTTTAGACAATCTGAAAATTTCTGTCTTTTCATTGGGGCATTTAAACTATTTACATTTAAGGTTATCATTTATATAATTAGGTTAAGTCTACCATCTTGTTATTTGTTTTCACTTTGTCCCGGTTTTTCTCATTTCTCCAATATT